AAAAAAAAAAAAAAAAAAAAAAAAAAAAAAAACAAACCAGCTAGGAATTTGGCTATAGAGGTTCACAGGGAATTGGAGACTGTAATTGGAACAGAGTTTTCCCAGAAAGTAACAGGCCTTCTGCCTCCTGGGCTTAGCAGATGTGACCTTGGACAAGTTACTAAACCTTTCTGAGCTTCGTCTTTCTCACTGTAGAATGAGGCCTGTCTCCAGGTTATTGTAAAGACATGTATGTGAGGTGCTTTGGGAACCATAAAGCTGCATGTAGTTGTCAGGTTCTCTCTTCTGGCCCTGTGAGCTGGAGACACACACACATGCCTCCCTAAACCATTCAGCCCCCGGGCACCTACTGCAAGGACTCAGGAGTTGTGCAGAGGTGCAGGGGAGTTGTGCCTTCCTCGGACAGCACATTAGCCTTGGCTCCGAAAGTCAGCAGCAGCCGCACACAGTCAAGCTGGGCCTGGGCACAGGCTTCGTGCAGGGCAGTGCGACCCCCGACACGGGCATCCAGCTCAGCTCCCTGCTGGATCAGGTGACGAGCACAGTCTGTGTAGCCTCGGGCTGCAGCGATGGTGAGGGGTGCCGTCAGCTTGGCCTTGGGGGTCAGCACCCAGAACCCTGGGGAGAGCAAATAATGGTGGGGGGTGGTGCATAAGACGGGAAGGCAGGAAGTGGGGATGCTGATTCCAGCTGACAGCTGACACTGGCCTTCCGGCTGCATGGTTTGCTGAGCACAAACACTGCCAGGCTGTACCTATGGAAAGGGGCTTATTCAAGTCCTGATTTGGAAGAATAAATTGGAACAGCCTTTTAGAACAGTTTATCAATCTGTAACAAAACATAGTATGTGTCATAAAAAAATTAATTGCTGTATAAAACCACAGGAGCCAACTAAGTAGAGTGAATCCCATTAAGGAAACCTCAAGGTCTTTGAATGGCTAATAGTGTCAATGGCCTTTTTTGTTCACCATGGGGCCTGGCATGGTGACTCACATCTGTAATCCTAGCACTTTGGGAGGTTGAGATGTGAGGATCACTTGAGGTCAGAAGTTCCAGACCAGCCTGAGCAACATAGTGAGACTTTGTTTCTATTTTTTTTCTTTTTTATTTTTTTGTACAGCAAAACCATGATCAGGAGAATGTCTCTATTTTTTCTTTTTCTTTTTTTTTTGAGACGGAGTTTCACTCTTGTTACCCAGGCTGGAGTGCAATGGCGCATCTCGGCTCACCACAACCTCCGCCTCCTGGGTTCGGGCAATTCTCCTGCCTCAGCCTCCTGAGTAGCTGGGATTACAGGCATGCACCACCATGCCCAGCTAATTTTTTGTATTTTTAGTAGAGACGGGGTTTCACCATGTTGACTAGGATGTTCTCGATCTCTTGACCTCGTGATCCACCTGCCTCAGCCTCCCAAAGTGCTGGGATTACATAAAGGCGTGAGCCACCGCGCCTGGCATCTATTTTTTCTTTTCTTTTCTTTTTTTCTTTTTTTTTTTTTTGACGTGGAGTATTGCTTTGTTGCCCAGGCTGGAGTGCAATGATGTAATCTCAGCTCACTGCACCCTCCACCTCCCGGGTTCACATGATTCTCCTGCCTCAGCCTCCTTATTAGCTGGGATTATAGGCACCTGCCACCACACCTGGCTAATTTTTGTATTTTTAGTAGAGACGGGGTTTTATCACGTTGGTCAGGCTGGTCTCAAACTCCTGATCCGCCTGCCTCGGCCTCCCAAAGTGCTGGGATTACAGGCGTGAGCCACTGCACCTGGCTATTTTTTTTTAAATGTAAAAAGAAAAAAATGTTCATCTTGGTCTTAGATGAACAAATGGGTAGTTATGCAGAAGCGGGCCTGGAGCTGAGTTTGGGAATGGCCAAAGAGCAGAACTGAGTTCTGGGATACTCCTGGGGCAGGGAGGGTTGGATGGAAATGGGGGAATGGTGGAGGGGAGAATAAGAGGTGCAGATGGGAAATGAATAAGGAGAGGGTGATCATGGGACTAGTGCTGGATTTGAATGGTGGCAGTGGTCAGAGACTTATTAAAAGGGTGATGCTTCATATCAAACTAGAAGTTGTTTGCATGGCAGCACAGTCCACCCCTGGTTTTTCTACATCTTGAGTAAAGCATGTTTTGTTTTTTAGTAGACTTGAAATTAAGGCTGAGTTCCATCTTGGGGATTATGGACAAGCTGCAGGATGAGACCAGAATGCCCTGGTTGGGTCACAGCCAAGCAGGAATTTGGAACCTGTAGTGACTGGGGGAGCTTATGCTCTCCTAAGGATTCAAGCCCCAGATCCATGGGTGGGGTTTGAGCAATTTCTTGTCAATCTTGAGATAATGGTGATCTCAGCTAGGGTATTTAGTTTACTTGGACAGACCTGCTGGCCAGAATATATTCTTTTTTTTTTTTTTTTTTTTTTTTTTTTTTAGATAATTTTTTTTTTTTTTTTTTTTGAGACAGAGTCTCACTCAGTCATCAGGCTGGATTAGAGTGGTGTGATCTCAGCTCACTGCAGTCTCCACCTCCTGGGTTCAAGCAGTTCTGCCTCAGCCTCCCAAATAGCTGGGACTACAGGTGCATGCCACCACACCCAGCCCATTTTTGTATTTTTAGTAGAGACAGGGTTTCACTATATTGGCCAGGATAGTCTCCATCTCCTGACTTCATGGTCTACCAGCTTTGCCTCCCAAAATGCTGGGATTGCAGGTGTAAGCCACTGTGCCTGGACTAGCCAGAATATATTCTAAGGATATCATCTAGCAAGTACATAAAGATGTTCATTATACTGGTACTTAAAATAATTTTAAAAAAATCTACCCAGCTGGTTTGGGGGCTAGTTATAAAATTAATGGCACATGCTTCTACAGTAGAATTTATGTCCCCCTTTTTTTTTTTCCTGCAACCATGGGGTCTTCTATGTTGCTCAACCTGGTCTTGAACTCCTGGTCTAAAGCAGTAGTTTGGCCTCGGCCTCGGCCTCTCAAAGTGCTGGGATTACTGGCATGAGACACCATGCCAAAGCCAAGAATATAACTTTTAATTCTTAAAAGGCATACATACTGCTAACTCTGCCTCATCACTGTTTAGGAGGGAGCTAGGATGGGTGGTGGAAAGGGCTGCTCTAGTCTGTGGTCTGCAGGGAAGGGGGGACCCTAGACTCTCCCTCCTCCCCACCCACTCCCCTTCTTTCTCCCTCCTCTTCTGCCCTCTTCTGGCGCCCCCTACCCTGTTCAGCTGACCAGGCCAGCTGGTTGCTCACGGTCTCCACAGTCATGTTGGCAGCCTCTTCATCTTGGAACAGGACTTGGACCTGTTGCAGGTCGCCGGAGAACAGGGCATGGTGGACAGCTGGGTCTCCACAGGAACGGTGAGGCCTAGTGAGTCGAGCCCGGGGACTTGACGGGCACCTTCGGTTCCGGCACTGTTGGGCAGCTGCCAGCCGGCGGTCTTCCCATTCCAGCCACTCCCGCTGCAAGCGGAGAGAGCGCAGCGTGGAGGAGGTGAAGGGGAAGGTCTCCCTTGCCATGGGTGGGGCCCAGGGGTTTGGGCAGGGGCACCTGGGCAAAACTAGGTTCCCTCAACCTAACTACCTTCCTTGCTCTGAGGAGCCACTCTGCCCCCTCTGCCGTGAGCCAGAGAAAGCAGCAGCTGACGCTATAAATAGATCCTTTGCTGCTCTGGTAAACACAGTTTGCTCAGAGTCATGATCTTGGTGCTGAGAAGGTGCTGGCCCAACCCCCAGCCCAGGACGAGGGCCAGCCCCTGCCCCTGAAGATACCCTTTGGTTGGTCAGCAGGCCCTCAGCTGAGGCCACCCCTGAACCCCAGTATCTGCATCCTCCCTTGTCTCTAAAGTGAACATCTTGGGTTGGCAAGGTCCAGGGTGTGTGAGAAGGTCAGTCATGAAAATGGGCAGGGCTGGGAGGAAGACAAGGTGCCTCCATCCTCTCTGATGTTGGCTGGAGGGCAGGAGCCATCACTGGCCCACGTGGAGAAGATAGGGCTGACCTCAGCACAGGAGGTAAGGGGAGGTCAAGACAGAGTTACTGAGAAGGTGAGCAGCTCTTCCCAGCATCTGCAGTAACAGCAGTAAGTCTGTACATATGTACAGAGTTTCACAGTATTTAAATTACATTCATATCCACTTTCACCCAGGGGACCATACTTCCCAGCCCACCCAGTAATCAATAAACTTAGTGTGAGCACTTTGGGAGGCCGAGGCGGGTGGATCACCTGAGGTGAGGAGTTTGAGACCAGCCTGGCCAACATGGAGAAACCCCATCTCTACTAAAAATACAAAAATTAGCTGGGTGTGGTGGCGAGTGTCTGTGATCACAGCTACTCGGGAGGCTGAGGCAGGAGAACCACTTGAACCAGGGAGTTAGAGGTTGCAGTGAGCCGAGATCATGCCCATTGCACTTCAGCCTGGCGACAGTGAGACTCTGTCTCTAAAATAAAATAAAATAAAGTTGGTTTAGATTATAATTGAAATTATCACAGTCAAACACTTCTGAGATGTGTGATCTTATCTCTCTTTTTTTTCTTTTTTCTTTTTGAGATGGAGTCTCGCTCTGTAGCCCAGGCTGGAGTGCAGTGGTGTGATCTCCACTCACTGCAACTTCCGCCTCTCAGGTTCAAGCAATTCTCCTGCCTCAGCCTCCCAAGTAGCTGGGACTACAAGTACACGCTGCCATGCCTGGCTAAGTTTTTGTATTTTAGTAGAGGCTGGGTTTCCCCCGGTTGCCCAGTCTAGTCTCAAACTCCTGAGCTCAGGCAATCCGCCCTCCTCAGCCTCCCAAAATGCTGAGATTATAGGCATAAGCCACTGTGTCCGGCCCTTATCTCTGTTTTACAGATGAGGAACCTAAGGCTTAACAAAGTAATTTACTGGTTCAAGGTCACAGTTTGTGAGAGGCAGTCAGGACCCCACATAGATGGTGTGCTTTGGGCCAAGAATGGTGGCTCATGCCTGTAAGTCTAGCACTTTGGGAGGCTGAGGCCAGAGGATCGCTTGAGCCTAGGAATTTCAGGCCATCCTGGGCAACACAGTGAGACCTGCATCTCTCTTTTTTTTGAGGTGGAATCTCACCCTGTCGCCCAGGCTGGAGTACAGGCCACCACGACTGGTCTCTCCATCTCTTTAAAA